CCTAGCCCCAATATAAGATGACCCTAACCCTAAAGTTAATTCAATAAAATATATATTAGAAGAATCCTCCGCTTTAGACGTCCCCTCATTTTGGTAACAGATCTTCAATTGGAAAATTCTTTTTTAATTCTATGGTACAAATTTGCACCAATCATTGGCTGTGTTATTATTTGGCACACAACCGCCTTTTAAAGCCTCATGTTTTTTTTAAAACTGATTGTTATTTTTAAATAATAAAAATGCTCTTTTTTAAAATAGAAATCGGTTTTAGAATAGCCTTTTAGTATATTACAGATCATTTCTATATCTCGGGGTCGGCTAAAGCGGAGTAATTCAAAATATGATCTACATGCTGCATCAATTACATTCTTGATATCTATATAACCCACTAACCATAACTGCGTCAAAAAGGTAACCTTAAACTTCACTCCGCATTAGCCGACCACTATGCATTAATGATAGGAATTGGTGACCAGTAGGCCTCCGCATGGGCCATACCTTAGCCCTACCCGCCTGTGCAAGGGCTTGACTCCTGAGCCCTTACCCTTACCCTAGGGCTCAAAACTTGATGTCCGCAGGTACCCGTGGATACCCACAGGCTTATTATTAGCAATAGGAGCCATCCCAAATCAGAAGATTGCCAAAGTAGAACGTTGTAGTCTGCCTGGTAAAGTTGGTTTTCGGACAGTCCTAAATTTTTGAACCTATTTTCGGATATCATAAAATCCTAAATTAAGTCCTAAAATCTGAAAATACCCCTCGTGCCAATACTACTAGTTACCACGTGTAACCAATCATGTTCTTACATTAAGTTATATATAAAATTTGTATCTTACGATTTTATTGGTTGGAAGTCATGTGATTTATAGTTATGATTTTTCGGACATGCATATTGTATTTGCCTTATTTTCGGAATTTTCCTAAAATTGTTCTTCCGAAAATCCCGTGCCAACACTACTGCCTGGTGATCGATTATTTGATTCATACGATTGGCTAATTTTGTCCGATCCGTTTTATATTTACATCGCAAATAAAATAATATGAATAAATGTTTATGAACTTAGATTAATTACTGTCCTTCATGTTCATACACTAAATTATATTCAATCTGAACTAAAATTATTATTTATAAGTTTGGGTGTTTATTTAAATTTTTAGATTAATAAATAAATTTTGTACTGGTGCTAATTATGAACTTGAATGATTTATTTTGTATGCTTATATTAATAAATGTTCTTCACACTCATATATCAAATTATTCGGGTAAAAGAAATTAAATGACAAATAAGCTTTGCTAAAAGAAAACATACACATTTAAACATAACCTATATAAATGTGTATTGTTTCCTTTAGCAACACTCAAATATAATAAATATTTGCATTCACGACTACGTATTCACGTGTGTTTTTGATTAATTCTTGTTGCGGCTGATGCCGAAATTTGGGGTCTCAATTTGAAAATATAAGCCATTGTACTTGCGAGGATATCCGTTAAGCCATGTTGTTTTATAGATGGATAAAATCCCTCATCTTCAAGATATTGAATATTAACCAAGTCTTTTGACTCTATCCATTCCAAGCAAATGACCTTATTATTGGTCTGTGTGCGTCGAATTATTATATCGATCATATCATTGTTACTCGTCCACACATTAAATTCTGGTTCTGGTTTTCTAAAATAACACTGCACAAATCGCTACAAGGTTTCTAATACCCAACAGTCCGGGTAACACTTATCACAAAATGTCTGATCAATAGAGATAGTTCAAATATTTTAAATGCTGGTAATAGTTCGGCAGCTTCTATGTCTTGTTTATAGTAATAACTCGTATTATTTTTTTTACAGTAATAATATCATCACCTTTAGCAGATTTCTTATACCATTTGAATGCTTTCTCAGTATCTTTAGCAACCCCTATTCCATTTTTGTAGCACCATGCGACTTTGCGTTGTCCATTAGCATTACCTCCTTCGGCAGGTTGTAGATACCATTCAAACGCTTTTACTTCGTCCTTAGTGGTACCCATGCCATTTTAATAGCAGTACCCAATAGAGATGGGAAAAATGCGCATTTTATAATAACATGCTTATGTTATGTAAAATGCGCATACATCGCATGATATAATTTTTTTTATTGAATTATTATAACCTGTGCCATTGGTTAGAAATAACCACCCTTATTAAAGTTAGGATTAGGGTGCAGCTTTAAGATAAATAGAGGTTTTTATATAAAATAATTTTTTATATAACATAATAAAGATCGGGTATTAGTTCCTAATCTCAGTTCTCGTGAGGTTTTCAAGGGTCCCGAATATTTTTATTTAGTACACCCGACCCCATTTCTTAGTGCAGTTTTTGAGATATAGCACGCTGGTTATCCTTAACCACTGGCACAGGTTAAAAATATCCTTTTTAATTTATATTTTCCTTCGGAAAATGTCGTATATTGGATCTAATTTTTGCCTGACATTCTCATCTTTCATTTTCTTTTCGGAAATTTTCAGAACTTTGCATTCCTGTTTCTTAATTCCGCCTGGCATTATATTCTCACCCTAAATTATATATACAAGTTACCCTCGTTAATATCAACCTATTTTGAATTGGTTTTAAATCATGTTGATAGTGATATTAATGAGAAATCATATTAAAGTTGATATATATGAGGGAATTTTGATATATAAAAATTTATAAACTTGATTTGCGGCTTAGGCTGATATTAACGAGGTTGATATTAATGATTATGGTACGATTCCCTGAAAGCTATTTAACTGACAGGCCACTTACCCGACATCACAAGGGTGACAAATTGCTAAAAATATATATCTGCAAATAATAAATGCTAACCCTAACCCTATGTGATGTTGGGTAAGTGACTGTCGGTTAAACATATGGGCGGATTTGACTCCAAATGTGATTATCATGAAATTCACGCTGATTGGCTAATTTACCTTATACAATACTGGGTTTTGTAAAGATGATACATCGTTTTTAAAAACTTAATGTAGTTTGATATTTCATATTTATACTCAACAAGGCTTTAGCTTTTCTGATTCTATTCACTTAAGAACTTTTATTAGTGACATTGTCAAGGGATAAATTATGTAAAAATATATAAAAGGTTTTGTAGCTTTTTATTGTTTGAATCAGTCACAAGGTAACTTATTTATATATTTTAAAGTATGTTCATAAGAACATAATACTAATTGCTGCATTATAAACATGTACAAATTTTACATCATAATAATATTAATACTCATTATGTTAAAATGAAATACTAGTTTATTAGGTACACAAATATTGAAATCAGTTAACAAAAAAGATATTAAAATGTTTAAGTAAGCTTTGATGAATTTTATAATATTCCTATATTATTAAACAAAT